TCCCCGCCACATGTGCGGCTCTCTGCGGCGAGCAGGCAGCTGCGCAACATATAGACGTGAAAGGTCGTGTAATTCTGTAGCAAGCTAGCTCAAAAATTCGAGAGCTGGTGCTTGGTAAAGTTGTGAAACTATATGAAAGAAGATGAATGCTTACTCATTTGGGGTGGGTTTTTTTCCCCCTGACTGAAGAGGATCCTGGGGTAGAGCTGCCACCTGCGTGGCTGGTAGAGCCATGTCTTGTATTTGAGCATCACGGAAGGAGAGAACGTCAGTCCTGCTGTTCCTTTTTCCTGCCCAAATCCCAGGGGTAGGATTTGCAAAAGATATTACTGTGCAGAGGGACTGGGCTTAACACATGTTTTGAACCCCTCATCTGTCTCTTCTGGGTGCTGCATGGTTCCTGTGCAAAGGCAAGAGCCTGATCCACTAGACACCCTCTCCTTTCCAGACCATGAAGGTCTCTGGAGAGAGTTGGGGAGCTGCAAAGGGCAGGGGCACAAAGCACCCTGCCACCTGTCTCGCTGAAGGCGTGTTAAAGGACTTTAATTCTTATTAACAATACGTATTTCTGGTAGGTTTTTTTAGGTTTTTCAATGATACAATCTATTATAAACAACTTTCTTTTAAACAGGTTGAAGACATGAAGAGAGTATTAGAAAGTCTCAACCTCAATATAGTAGAGATGGTCGATGAAAACGCAACCTTGGATGGTGGAGACGTCTTATTCACAGGTACGGTGGTAGTGAATGTGCTGCTTATGTATTCTGACTGCTTTGAAGACCGCGTGTTGCCTGTCATCTGCGTAATAAAATGTTGTTCATGCAGTTTGTTAAATCAGTTGTTTACTAAATGTCATGAAGGTAGCTGAGATGAATTTTCAATGCAACCCTCGATGTCCTGCTTAATGCCTAAATAAATGAAGTAGCAGTATGCACAGTACAAAGAGCAGCACTGTGCATACAAATTTTCTTTTAGCTTGTAAAGTGCCAATAAGAAATATGAAACAACTGCAGGCAGTTGACTGCTGAAAGCATTTTTCTTATTACAAGCAGCTACAGTCACCAGACTCGTTTTCAGGATTTATAAAAGCTTGATGCAGACAATTGTCACTAGTTCAATGAATCAAATGCAAAAAATGCATTTTTAGTTTATGGAGGAAGTGGTGGAGTTGTCTGCCAGATGTCATGTGCTAGACAACTTACATGCATGGTTGACTTCAAAGATGAAGATACTGGCTGTGTTTTTTATGTCATTAAACCCATTAGGCATTTTCTCACATCAGCTGCGCACACGCTTGCTCCCTGCCTGTGCTGAGTGAGCCTGTTTATTTTGATCAGCATCACAGTAGACTGGCTGCTTGCCTTAGTTTGCCGAGGGGAAAGAAGGGTCTCAAAAGAGGCAGGACCAGAAAGGGAGTCCTTTCTAGTGCAGCGCAGATCCCACACTGATTTCCTCTGGAGCTGGAGGATGCTGGTGGCTGCAGAGCTGCCTTCCAGACCAGAGGAAATCTCAGAGGGAGGGGGAAATGGTCAATCAGTGCTGTACTAATCCAGCCCAGCTGTTCTCTTTCCTGACTCAATGACCATTGCAGAGCTTTACAAGAGGAAGCTATTTATGCTTCTGGTGAAATGTGTCTTCTGGAAAAAGATAATTGCTTTAAATCATCTGCTCACAGTTGCAGGTTGCATTCTTCCAAACTGAATTTTCAGTTTTGCTAATTTTACCATTCAACTGGAGAAAAGAAAGATAGAAAATGATACCCATGAACGATTGCTTCAGAATGTCTCTATAAAGCTGTCCTGCTTTTCAAATGTGTATGTTCTGATGAAGGAGCCGATGTGATTTTTTTTTGGGATGGCTTAAGAAAAATTAAAAAAGAGCTGTAATTGTTTTGCCCTTCTTTTTGCATTCCAGGCAGAGAATTTTTTGTGGGTCTTTCCAGGCGGACAAATCAACGTGGTGCAGAAATTCTGGCTGACACATTTAAGGTTTGTAGATTCATTCATGCCACAGGAAATATAAACTATCATCCACTGAACCAATTTAAAAATTATACTGGCCATTTGTCATACTCAAGTGCTTTATTTAGGACTGACTTAAAAAAAAGGTACAAGATAGTGAAAAGCTTTGAGCATCCTCTGAAGTGACAGATGCTGAAGCTGGATCTGAAATGTGAGATTGCTGCATGAAAGTAACGTGGGTAGTGTGGGGCTGTTATTATTTGAGAGTACATCAACACTCGTGTTCTTAATGTTCTCATATCGACAGCATGTTCTTATTGCTGGTCCCTGGAGAGGTTTTACGTACATACTGTTTAATTATGCATTTTAATGTATTTCTTCATAGTTACAACTATAGTAATATATGAAACATGTTCTGGTTTTATTTGAGTGCACCAGACAAGACAAGCTGGTCCAGAGGGGTATGTCACACTTAAAAAGTTGACGCTGTGCCCTGGGATACGTTACTATTGTTAATTTTCAGAGAGTAAAATTAATTATGGAACGTCTCAATATAATTATGGAACTAGGACATTTAAAAATATTTATAGCAACCATTCTTTGCTTTCATACAGGATTATGCTGTCTCCACAGTCCCTGTTCATGATTCTTTGCACCTGAAGAGCTTTTGCAGCATGGCTGGACCAAACTTGATTGCTATTGGATCAAGTGAAGCTGCTCAGAAAGCCCTCAAGGTAAAACACCTAAGAAAATTTTCTAAATAACAAACTTTTTTATTGTTTTTTTTAAATATCTGCTCAAGGATGCTGGAATTTTAAAATAGATCTAGATCAATGAAAGAGGAAATTAGTACATCTCAGGGTCTCCTGTATGTGCAAACCATAAAGAATGTGTATATCAGGCAAGAGAACAGTGATGTTAATTTAGCTTTAGCTATTTTCAGAAAATAAATGGATTATACAGGATAAAATGGGTTATGCAGGTTATTACTTAACTCTTTGTTGACTAAAAAGGTGATAATTTGGTGATAGGAGGGAGGAAGGACATATTGTCAGAGCAGTAGGAGACATTTACTTCAGATGTTTTGCCAGAGGGAAGTGAAAGTTTTGGCATGAAGGAGAAGGGAAAGGGGTCTGATCCCTGTTGCAGAGATCTGGGTAAGATTGGTGAGTAACTCCAGCCGCAGGGACTGGAGCCCAGGACTCCTTTATCCATCCTTCCTCCATCACCTGGCTGCAAAGTCGTTCCTTCCTGGTCACACTTTTTCCTCTTTAGTCCCATGAGGGTCTCATAACAGCGTGGCTTCAGCAGAAGGGAAGGAAAGTAGTCTTGCACCTTGCTGGTAATTTGAGTCTCTGAACATTTTCCCTTTGGGAAAGCGGGAGCTGTGGGCTTGGACGTCAGGCCCTCATGAATCTGGGTCTGTCTTTGCTGGCGGACTTGCAAACCAGGAATCCATTGTGTCAGTGCGGTACTACCGCCATTATCCTCAGTGGGAAATGGTTATTGCTCCTGTGGTTTGCACTAGGCTCAGTGGCTTCCCTGCCTGCTGGGTGTGTTCAGAGCAAATCTACCACATTATGCTTTTTCAGGGATGTGAGATACCTGAGGCCATGAATCTCATTACGCACACAGGCAACCAGGCAGCTCACCCGAGAGAGCAGCATCTCTGCTCCTGCACCGCAGCGCAGCTGCAGGCACTGATGGTTTGCAGCAGAAACTTTAGCTGAGGTACCAAAAGAGCAAAATGCCACTGAGACTTTATCTGAAGTGAAGCTGGAGGGTGTTTGCATGGTTTGGTTTGAGATGCAGGTAAACCAGAGCATGTCTGAAAGCATTACAGCTAGGTGTCCTACACATTTCTATCAGCACTTGCCTTCAGAGGTTAAACCAAAATCAGTGATGGCAACAAGTCCCAAACTTTCAGCTTATGATTACATTGATTTTTTTGCCAAAAGTAAGAACCTAAGTATAGGCTTTGCTCTTTGACTTTGCACAAGTCTCCTTGATGCAACATGATCACTATCACGTGGAGGAAGCTGGCTGTGTGTCCCTTACAGTAAATGAGGAGGGGTGGAGATAGGTCTCCAGTGAGAACCAGTGACAAAGCTCTCTGAAATCCGCTCAATTTAAATGCAACTTACACAACCCAACTTGTGTCTTTTGCCCTGATTCTAAAGCATGAATTATTTTGAAGAACAGCGCTGCTATCAGTGCCCAAGGTTACTGATCTGAATCTGTGCCTGGTAGAACATTTACTACAGAAGTAGTATGTAACTCTGAAATAAACATCCCTGCCCCCCAAAGAGCTTAGGAACCCGTCCGGCGTGTCTTGTACACCTCCTTGGCTTCAGTAAGCTAGTGATATTTATTACTTTAAAACATCCTTAAGTATTTGCTAGGTGGAGGCCTGAGAGACTTCTTAGCCTTACTGCCATGCTGTGATATTTATTTCATTGCATGTTTGCTTTTCAGATCTTACACATTTTCCTTGTGGGCATAATCCTAGGACTTTTCATTTCCCAGCATCATCATTTTTACTATCAGAGCTAGGCAGAGATTTGGTGGGGTTTTTTTACTTTTTTTATCTTGTGACAGCTCAAGATTTAAAACTTCTCAGTCCCAGCTAAGATAAAACCAGCATTTCAAATCTGAGAATCTCCACTGCTGGACATGGGTTGAATTATGGAGGCCAGGGAAGTGCAGTCTTGGCTGGCTTAGACTTGCAGCCTGACAGCAATTAAGGGAATAGGATAGCTGCCTGATTGCTCCATGTAAGCTTAGGGGAGCTCTTAAACAAGACGACAGTCCCTTGGCTTCCCACAGAGTTTTGAGTGGCTTATAAGTTTGCTCTTTCATTTGAACAAGCTGTTGAAGTTACTCTCTTATTAGAAATCACTACGTGAAGCTCTGGGAGCACGTTGCCAGCTTATCACCCATGTCTTCTCCCCCGAGAAGCTTATGACAAATGGTTTTGGTTGTAAAGGTCTGATGTTCCTGATGCTGTGAGATTGATTTAGTCTGAGATGGAAAGTGCCGTGCGTCTCTCCCGATGAAATATGCATTACCCCAAATATTCAGGCTCAAACTCAAAATGCGTCGTGACCAGCTGCCTGATGAAGTTTGCAGATATCTAGACAGCCCTACACTTGTATAGAGTGTTTATAAACATGAACAAAATTCAAGTACAATACTGGTTGCTCAGAGCTGCAATTTGAGCTTGAGCCAGGACTAATCTGAGAACTCATCAGTTTGATTAAAGCCTTTTGCACAGCTCCGCCGATGGTGTTGCAGTGCATCAATTTAGCTATTGTAGCCAAAAATATTTTTTGGATAAGCTGATTAAATGTTGCTGGTAACTAGCCGTCAAGTAAATACCAGTATTAATCAAGGTACGGTAAAAAGCAGATACATTTTAAAAAGAAAATTATAATTAACAAAATAATCTAGCAGTCTTGGATTGTTGGTGAATATCTTTTATAAAAATAAATCAACTTTGCCAGTTTTCACAGCATTTCTCTGCACTGGAGACTTGGCAGCACGTTTACATGTGTGACAGTCATGTTTGCTCGCACCCTGCCAGCTGCGGTGAGGGACTGTGGCCCGGAGCAGCAGTTCTGCGCTGTAGCACGTGCCCTTCTCGTGCTCCCAGCGAGCTGACAGGTGACGTCAGTCAAGCATGTTGCAGTCAGAGCTACATACAAAATTACCCAGAGCGTGTTTCTTGTTCAGTCTGTAGGATCCAACTCTACTCTTAATCTGGGGAACCCCTAGCTCTTCCTCCAGGAGTCTAAATCTCTTCAGGGAAATGATTGGAAAACGAATGGGTAGAGCATCTGTCTCGGAAGTGGCGGAGTTGGCAGTGCTGCTTACACCTAGCTTCCTTTAGCGTTGGAATTCTTGCTTTTTGACCTCAGTGGTTTCTTCATCTTTGTTCACTTGCCTTCAAAGAAAAAACTTTCAGTTGGTAATCAGCTTCTCGCAGTCTTGTGGAAATGCAATTGCAATGGGGTCTCTAATAGGCACTGATACTCTGAATCAATAGCTGCTCCCTGGATGTCACCAGATCGACTGAGCTACAGCAATGCTGTCGGCTTCTCCTCTCGGTACCCATCGCAGTGAGGCAGTACGGCCCCCTGAGCTTCTACTGGGTCATTTGTCTAGCACAGCCCAGCATGCCACACCTTTATTGTGATAGCTTGCTATTTTAACCCTCTCCTTTGTTGTTGCCACTTTTCATGTCTGTGCTGGAAATGCAATCATATAAGCAAGATGATTAAGCTGTCTTTAACCATTTCTGGTAGTTGTTTTCATTCTGTAGCATGGTCTTGTTACACGAATGAACTGCTATGTCATGCTATGCTAGCATTTTATATTTAAAATAGGTTTTACCTTTCTACCAACAATCTTGTTTGAAACAGAATTTTTTCTTGATTGTCTTTACTGGTGTAACTCATGTACCCTTATAACACTTTAAAAGTAGAAAAGAAATTGCATCTGGTGCTCACATATGGCAGAGTGCAGTTGATCATGAGTTTAGTGCTGTGTGTGTAATGTGAAGTGCTCCAAGTGAGCTAGGAAATGAGTGCAGAGAGTTTAGGATTATAAAGCACATGCTAGAAGCGGCTAACAAATCAAAAGTGACATTTTAACCATTAAATCCTCTTCAGGCTCTGGCAAGTTATTTGGGCTGCAGCTGAAAGGTGGCACTCGAGGAAACTGGTTGAAAGAGAGAGACAAATTAACTGCAGAAACTACCAGGGCCTGTAGTGGCTAACACATCTGAAACGTTAACTTCCCTCTGCTGTTTTCAGCATGCTTTTAATTCCTTCTTGTAGTTAAACACATTTATAATTCTGTACATGTAACTCCATAGCTGAACATTGGTCATGGCTGTTGAGCCTGTAAAGCCTGGGATTATGTTTCTGTTCCCTCAGTAAAGCCAGGAAATCCTCCAAACGTGTCACCTCTGGGCTCTGATCCTGCACTGTTGGAGTTGCTGACCTTTACCTTGAGTGTGAATGAGGACGAATTCGGGCTGTGACAGTGCCAGCCCCAGCATAGGGGTGTGACGGGACAGTGCTGCTGGCAAATGCTCTACACCGCTTTTCCCACAACAAGGGACAGAGCCCTGGGGTCTTCTGGGACAGCAGATGAGCAGGAACTGGCCCAGGATGTAATGCAGTTCAGGCTGCAGCAGCAAAGGCAAGTTTCAGGCAAGATGACAATGGGAACTGGACACAGCATCTGTTACACACTCCTTTATGTACTCTCTTGCTCTATACTAAATCTTGAAAAGCCACGTTTCTGCCCGTTGGCTGTTTGTGTCTGTTGATACAGAGCATAAATCCCCTCCGGTTTCTGCGATGAGTGAAGACTTGGACAGCAGCAGCTTTGTCTACAGTAAAACCATTCGCTGTCACCCTCTGGGTAACTCGGTAACAACCCCAAAGGATCTGAGGTTTACACATGTTGTTCCCAGCTTTGGCAAGCTTAGCCTATTCCCTTGCAAGCAGTACGTGTTGTATTTGTAACAAGTGTCTGCTAATGAAGTTGTTCTCTCACCCATTGGGAAATAAGGGCTATCCTTTGGGTGCCCTCTGTCAGGCATTCTCCAACAGACTAGCCCCAGGGTGTCCCCATGGGACTGGTAGAGAAAGCCTCCAGCTGACCCCACTGCTCTGCAGAAATGCTGGTTGCCTGGTGGTTGCTGATGGATCTCAGAAGGGAGCAG